ACCCTTTTATTTAATGATGTTTACTTTGAATTTATATTAGTTCACACAAACACTCCATCCATGCTTTTGTTCCGGCCCTCCGGTCCAGTTTAAGAACCCATGTGGCCCTCGAGTCAAAAAGTTTGCCTACCCCTGGATTCTAAACAGATGCAGAAAAAGCATCTAACAAAATCCAACAACCATTTCTGGTATAAATTCTCAACAAACTAGGGATAGAAGGGAAGTTCCTTACCTGATTACAAAAACCTGATGCTAACATCATACTTAGTGGTGAAAGATGGAATGTTTGTCTCTAAAATGGGAAAAATGTAGATATTTGCTCTCATCACTTCTAATCAACCTTGTACTGAGATTCTGGCCAGTCAAAAAAAATTTTTTTAAGTCATCCAGATGGGAAAGAAGTAAAAATCATCTCTATCCTCAGTGACATTGTCCTCTATGTAAAAAACCCCAAGGAGTCCCCTGCCCTCTGCCTCAAACTGCTATAATTAAAAAATGAATCCAGCAAGGCAACTGGATACAAGATCAATATTTTAAAAATCAATTGTATTTCTATATTCTAGCAGTAAACAATCCAAAACTAAGAAAACAATTTCATTCACAAGAGCATCAAAAATAAGACTTAGGAATAAGTCTAACAAAGAAGTGACATGTTTATACACTGAAAATGATCAATATTGCTGAGAGAAATTAAAGAAGATTTAAAGACTCAAGTCCATAGATTGAAAGACTCAATATTGGTAGGATGGTAGTTCTCCTCAGATTGTTGTACAGATTCAATGCAATCCCTATCAAAATGCCAGGAGTCGATGTAGAAATTGACAAGTTGATCCTAAACTTTATATGGAAATTCAATATCATCAGTCCTTAGGGAAATGCCAATTAAAACTCAATGAGATAATTCTGCATATCCACCAGAATGGCTATAATTTAAAAAGACAGGCCTTCTGAAGTTTGAGTGAGTAGCTGGAGAAAGTGGACCCCCCAGGCATTGAGATTGGAATGTAAAATAGAAATTTAAACTGTAAAAACTGTTCTTAAAATTTGAACTTAGTGCCCTGGCTGGTGTGCTCAGTGGTTAGAGCATTGGCCTGTGCACTGAAGGGTCCCAGGTTTGATTCCCGGTCAAGGGCACATACCTGGGTTACAGGATCCATCCTCAGCCCAAGTCAGGGCATGTGCAGGGAGGTAATCAATCAATGTGTCTCTCTCACATCAATGTTTCTCCCTTCCTCCATCCCTCCCACTCTCTCTAAAAATTAATGGGATAAAATATATTCACAAAAAAAATTTTTTTTAAACTTACCACCCTGGCTGGTGTGGCTCAGGTGGTTGGAGCATTGCCCCATGCACCAAAAAGTGGCAGGTTTGTTTCTTGGTCCAGGGACACACCCAGGTTGCAGGTTTGATCCCCAGTCAGGGCCCATATGTAAGGCAACTGATCAATGTTTCTCTCTCTCTCTCTCTCTTCCTCTCTAAAATCAATTTTTTAAAAATTGAACTTACCATATGACAAAGTAATTATACTACTAGGTACTTATCCAGGAAAAATATGAGGTATACCAAAATGTAGCATTGTACATAATAGATGAAAACTGAAAATTATTCAAATACTTATAAATTGGTAAATAAAGAAAATGGGATATATTCATACAATAGAATCTATTCAGCAGTAAAAAGATGCTTCTGTGTGGCCCCTGCTTCTTCCTACTCTCTTACAAATTGGAGTCTCCCTGGATGGAAATCAAGCGAGGAGTGATCTACTGGCTTCCAGTAGGAACCTTCATGTGGAAAATTCCCCAAACACAGAAAGTATTTTCAATGACTATTGTTGGGTGTCACAAAACACAACAAATATCCACTGTGTTCTCTTCAGGACCCCATCTAGGGTCACAAACTTGGGACTCTGACCCAGGGCACTGAAATGTCCAGGGCTGAAAAAAAGGGATGGGACAAGCACACCAATGTCAAAGGCAGGCAATGCTTTGAATGTAGACCTGCCCTCTTCCCCAAATGCACAAAAGCAAGCTTTGTGCCCTGGCACAAGCAGTAAAATTTCTAGGCATGGCTCTGCCACTTCCCTTTCCACTCCAGCTTCCTGGACCCCCTTGCCTCCACTTACTTGGCATTCTGAGCTCCCCAGTCAGGTCTCCAATCTGTCCTGCCTACCACTACAGTCTCATTGTCCTCAAGGTCAGTTCACCCTTGTCACTTCTAGCACACACAAAAATAAAATTAAAAAAAATTCCAGTGGCCACTTACTTATTGTCTGTATCACCCAAAATCTTTAGCTTGATTTTCAGAAGCTCCATACTCTGGGAACAACTTACGATGGCTTACATCTGACCTACGTTTTCCTTTCTTGCGTGCTTCCCAGTAGGGTGGGCCCAAAGGAAAACTCCTGGGAGAGTCGGAGGGCAGATAGGAAGCAGCAGCCATTTGGGACTCAAACACATTTCAGCTGATCTGCTGAGTCATCTTATTGGCATGAAGCAGCAACTAAGCCTACAACTTCTCTCCTTTCCCCTGGATCCTCCTTCGGCTCCTTTAACACAACAGCCAGGTGTTTGTGCTCAGCTGTGTGACATAGGGCCCTCGCTTCTGCAGAACAGCTTGACACCAAGGTCAGAGGTGATAAGAACTGACACAGCTTTCAAGTTCATCCTGTCAGGCTTCAGCTCATGCTCGAGGGTTCCACCCTTCTCTTGATCTCCCCCACTTTACACTCATCATCCCTTCCTGACTACCTACACAGTGGACTTCAAGTGTCAACATTAGACATGGAGACAATAGCCTTACCGAGACTGCTTAACCAGCTCTCACAACTGTGCAAGGCCAACTCCCTGTAATGATGGATGATGGATGATGGATGGATGGGTGGATGGGTGGATGGGTGGATGGGTGGATGGATGGATGGGTG